CGGCGCGTGTAGCTGCTGTCACTTGGCTGGTTGCTGGTCCTGACCCGCCCGCCCGTGGCTTGCAGGTTCGCCTCGCTTGCAGGCACTCCTTATACTCCTTAAAGCTAAGGAAACTGCTTTAAAGTGAAATGGAGAAAAACATTTTAAAATGAAGACAGGAAAGTTCTTGTTTAATTTTTTGAAAGGCAATAACCATACTATTTTACATGGAAAATACATTTTTCATCGAAGTTAAGTAATTTCTTTCATACCAGGTTTTCCTAACAGGACATTTAAAGATTATTAAGTGGGCCAAATTATGCTATGTGCATGTATGAATATATACAATGAATTCCACTTTTAAAAAATTTTAGTTATAGATGGACATAATACCTTTATTTTATTTGTTTATTTTTTTAATGTGGTGTTGAAGATCCTACCCAGTGCCTCACACGTACTAGGCAAGTGTTCAATCACTGAACCACAACTCCAGCCTAAATTCCACTTTTAAGTATAACTGCAATACACCTATTTCAAACACACAAAAAACCAATAAATAAATAGAWGGAAGGCCAGTAGAGTAGAGAAAGGGGTTTAGTGGTAGAGAGTGGGGAGGGAAGGGGAAACAATGGGAAATGAAATGGGACAAATTGTGTTATATGCATTTATCAGTGTGTCCAAATGAACCTGACTATAATGTATRACTATAATGAACTAATAAAATGTATAAATGTGTGTGTATTGTATATGTACAATCTTTACTTTGCCTTTTAGAATTCAATATTCAAACAATTTTTTGAATGATAACGTTTTCAAATTCAAGCAAGGGATGAGATATTTAAGCTAAAACTTACAATGTTTTCTAATAGCATATCAACCATTTTAAAAAGCTAATTTCATTATCTAAGGTAATAACACCATATTAATATGACTGCCCTAAACTACCATTTAAATTACAATTGTGTATCTTGCAGGTGAAAGACGACTGTCATACAAAGCTCTCCAGGGAGCATTGATGATATATTTTTACAGGTAAAGACAAATGAATAGCTTATATATTATAATTATAATTTAATATGCAATTTAATTTTTGAAGAAAACAGAAAATAATTAAATTCTATTTTTAAATTTTTACATTTAAATGGCAAGGAATAAAATTATAACTTTATTTCTGCAGCAGGTCTCTTTCTTTCTCTCTCAAAGTATTTTATGTTATTAATTGTCTTAACAGGCTAAAGTTCAATTTTTCTGAGAAACTCAGTTACAAAATATATTCTCTCATTAAATGGTGTTGCTTGTTTATTTCTGTTTTATAAAATGAAAAAGAATTAATGAAAACATTTTGTTAACCATTGTTCTACTTATTCAACAATTTCAGATAATTTTTTTAACTAAAATGTTTTAAGTGTTCCTTCAATGTCCACATATTCCTTCATGTGTGTGAAGTTTCCATCTGAATCATCCATKTCAAAAACAGGGTAACATGCTAGCAAAAAGGATTCCAATACTTGTATTTTCAGGATGTTTTGCCACCTCATATTTTAAATTTTTCTTTTAGAACCAGGGATAAAATAAAAGACCTCACTCATGCTAGGCAAACACTCTACCACTCAGCTATTTTCTCAGCCTATTTTAATTTCTATTTTGAGAGGATCTCATTAAGTTGCCCAGGGTGGACTTGACCTTGGCATTCTCCTGCTTCAGCCTCCTGGGTACCTGGGATGACTGGCATGCTCCACCATGCCTGGCTCTTTTAATTTTTTAATATCCTCTCAAATCTGTTTCTTCAGACTGTCAGCATAAACAAAACCTTTAAGCTCTTTTCCTAAACTGGAAATACATATATACCATTGAAACTAAGATGTCCCAAGGAAAAAATGCTCTGAGAAAGTTGAAGGATTAGGTGAAAATGGGAAAACAAATATAGGAAATAAAAAGCATGTGTGTGTATGTGTGTGTGTGTGTGTGTGTGTGTGTGTGTGTTTTGTGTATATGTATTTCCTAGAAGCTTTTGACCTGTACTAGCTGGGAAATATGACATAGTATAAATATGTTTCTTTTAATTAGAATCTGTATTCTTCCTGGTTGTTTTGTGTATACTTCTGGAACTTTCTAGATTTCAAAGAAATACTGCAAAGTGAGTAGTGTTATTTCCATTTTTGAGATGAAGAAACAGAAACCAAGAGAATAATCCAAAAATGCTATGGATCCTGTTAGACAAATATAACATTGCTGCCAGAGCCAACTTATTAATTATAAAACTCATACATTCTTAAGCCATGAATTTTCTTGGATAGATATCTTCTTGTTATTTTCTCCTTTAGGGAAGAGCCTAGATTCCAGGTTCCTTTTCAGCTGCTGACATTCCTTATGGACATAGATAGTCTCATGACCAAATGGAGATGTAAGTCCTCCTCCTATTCCCCAATTCATTCTGATTGGTTACTCAATATTTTTGAGGATTCACAAAAATGTTTCAATTTTATAATCAGAAAGAAAAAAAAGTAAAGTTTAGGTCAAATAAAATATTTTAATATTTAACAGTAATATGCTTATCTTTATGTCAATGCAATTTAAAATATAATTTTAATTATCTTTATTTTTTTGAGTGAAAATAGAGACCCATAAGGCAAAATTGGCATAGACTCATGAAAGTCATTATGTGGTCTTGCCCTTTGTATTCTTTTCACGGGCTAACCACAATGATGCATGTAGCCTAAACTATGTGGGGTGCTAGGCAACCTTACTGTTTCGCTGGTTCCCACAGGTGAACCTCCCATATGGCTAAGTGGTTGCAAGTGTCAGCCTTTCCTCAGAAATAATCATTACCAACACTTGTTTTGAGAACATGGTGAACTAATGGTAGAAAAACATTCATGGCGTAAATTTGTGTGTTTGCCTAGATAACCATGTGTGCGTGGTGCACAGAATGCTGGGCAGCAAAGCTGGCACTGGGGGTTCCTCGGGCTATCAGTACCTGCGCTCAACCGTGAGGTGAGTGGGCCTAGGGGGTTCTTCTCATCTGGTGGAAGTCACCAATCCTTTGTTTCTCCATATACTATGCCCATTATCTAGGAAAAGTCATTTGTGTTTGTTCCTGTCTAAACTGCTGAAGACACATTTGTAGTTAGATGATTATATTCCTACTGATCCTTTGAACGTAATTGTATAAAATCCTCAATTATGAAGCTTCACTCATTTGGTCCAGTGATGAAAAGGAGCGTTGCTACCCGTGGCTGCATGATTAGTGAGAACATAAAAGAATTAATAGTCTTTTTGTCCAGGAAGAAAAGTCTTCATTTCATTCTAGCTCAAGCTTTAACTACACTAAAACTTTCATCACTAACTCCTCTAATATTTTCTTGGTCAGATAAATAACACAGCTAGACTAGTTCCTTGTTTCCTGATATGACTCTGTTTTATATTGTGAAGCTACTTTCAGCTACTCCAGAGGGTTCTTTTTCCACAGTCTTTACAGAGAAAGAGGTCAATATTTACTGAGGTCTTAAAACACATTAAGACAATTGCCTTCTTATTTTATTTAATATGCACATTATTATAGATAAATGTATACACAGGCAGACACACCTAAAAATGAGGAAACATAGCTCTGTGGAAAAGAAGAATCAGCTCAATAAGTTAGACATTCACATTTTTGTCCCTGCATTTTTTATAGTACATTGCTTTTATCCCTGATATTACTACCTGATTGGTTGATTTATAAAATGCACAAGTTGAAATTGTGATTATACATTTTATATATTTTCATTTTCCATGGGAATAACTTCTGTATGCATGAAGTACTAGCTGTCTGTAGAAAATTAGCACATACATCAGTAGGTGCTGGGAATAATGAACACAAATAGTAGTATTTCTAAGTGTGTTATCATCTCATTTAATCATCAAAAAGACCTGGCCAAACCAAGGGATTGTGTTTTTTATTTTACAGTTTGTAACTGGAACACTACTAATGTTTACCAAGTCCAAGGCCCAATGGRTTGGGGTGACAGAACCAGAATTCAAACCCATGTTTATTTGACTTCAAAGCAAATATCTTTGTCTATACAAGTGTAACCATTAAAATAGTYCACTAAAGAATGCAAAAGCAATTTTAACATAAAAACCACTTTTATAGACATTTTAATCAATCCAAGATGGTATTTTAGTTTATTACTCTCTTCATGGCAGTTACACGGTGGCTCCTTTTGCAGCTGGGAAACACTCTTCCATGAACAACCAAGAATGCATGCTTTTAAATATATCACTTTGTGTACCATCCTTTAAAAATAGGAAATAAGAACACACCATTGTCCTTATAATGGTAGCATGAAAGTAATGACTCCAGATTTTCATCTGTATCACTCTAGGTTTAATCTACTGAATATATAATATTGTTTTATGAAAATAATCTTTAGATATGATTTCTAAACTCGGTAATCTTAATACTAAATACTACATAATAACTAATATGATACATATGACATATAACATGCAATATGTGGTAGTGAATATTAACTGTTTAATGGAAAATATTTGAGGAAAGAAATTTGGGGGTACAAATTTTAAATGTTTCATGACAACAAATCTAACACATCTACATATATATGTTTTTTCAGTGACAGGTACAAGGTGTTTGTGGATTTATTTAATCTTTCAACATATCTAGTTCCCCGACACTGGATACCAAAGATGAACCCAATCATTCATAAATTCCTTTACACAGCTGAATACTGTGACAGCTCTTACTTCAGCAGTGATGAATCAGATTAAAGTCATCTGAAATATCATTGAATAATTTTATCARTCTATATTTTATTTTCTAAATTTTCATGAGCACGAAGAGTCTTTTTAATGTAATATTTTTGTGTACATAGTTTTGCAGCATGGTGTTTTGATTAAACTCTGGAAAAGACTTTATTACTTCATGTTTGTAATGATATGATTTAACCATTAAAATAAGAAATAATTGAGTTAAATTGTAATATTGTACACAGGTGTTTTCCTATTAAAACACCTGATACTTTCTTTAATGTAATCACTGAATATCATCATTCTGTTTACCTCATACTTCATAACTTGTAAACCAGATTTTTCTGATATTTTATGTAATAAGTGTCATTCTGTACAAAATTAATTCAAACAAAACTTCAAAAATAATAAATTTAGTCTTTCATTTTATATTATTTTTGAAACATTGTTTTCCTTAACATTCTTGATGACCATTAACAGACATTTTACCTGACACTTGTCTAGAGGGGATCCACTGGACATTTAGTCCATTTAACTCACAGAATTCAAAAGAGTCTGGAACTGGATTCATTTTCTGTCATGGGATATTCCTGGAGACCTTGGGGACTCTTTGTCTCTTCTCTGTGGATGTTAGCTCTATTCTTTCCTTTTGGAGACCACTTCCTTYCTCAGGCTGTGTCCCAACTCTCAACCATTTGGACCACAACAGAGCCATAGTGTACCTTTCCCCAGCTCCAGGGCCCATGGTGTGGGAGATACAGTCAACTCTAATATACAGAAAAATGTTCTCCCAAAGAAGAATGTTCTTTCCAGAAGAAAAGAGATGTAAACAGACTAAATAGTGACCACATTCAAATCTAATTCAAAATATTAAATGAATCATTATTTTAAACTTATTGATTTGGTGATTACATATCACATGTTTTCATTTTCCTTTTTAAATTTTGTTCAAATATTGACAGTATTCAGTTAAATTTATGTTATGGGAAGTAGTACCTAATTTTATCAAAGGAATCTAGAAGGTAGATCAGCCAGGCACAGTGGCACACACCTGTAATCCTAACAGCTCGGGAGGCTGGGACAGGAGAATTGCAAGTTCAAAGCTAGCCTCAGCAACAGTGGGGTGCTAAGGAACTCAGTTCCTATCATTTGATATTCCTGGAAACCATGGGATAAATAAAATACAAAATAGAGCTGGGGTTGTGGCTCAGAGGTTGAGTGCCTCTGAGTTCAATTGCTGGTAGCAAAAAAATTAAAAAATGAAATGTATATCAATTTTAATGTACATGGATTATCTCTAGCAAGAGCAAGCAATAATTCTTGATGGAATAGAACTATTCTTTGATCTCAATTACAAGATTTTTTTTCTTAAAAGGATCATATCCTCTAAGTTTGTCTTTAAATTATTTATTAATTTGACCATACCCATGAGTTCTGCATCTGCAGATACAAGCAACTACAGGTGGAAAATATAAAAATATTTTTCATCTGTATTGAAAATATGTATAGTTCTTCTGTTGTCATCATTTCCAAACAATATAGTATGACAACTATTTGCATACCTTTTACCTTGTACAAGATAATGAGGTAATAAAGTGTGTTATGGATCTATGCCTAATAACAARAACTATCAAAACGCTCTTCCAGAACCACCATCTCGCATGAAATGTTACCATAACTCTGTACAAAAGTATTTCTGTGAGGACATTTGCACAGTAACTGCCTGTTAACCTTGGACTGATGCCTCCTTTGTTACTGACTCTGGTAGCCAAGGATAATTGTTTCAAAGCAATTTAATCTTCTTCCTTTTACCTCTAAAAACTCTTGTTTTCCTTTGCCCCTGAAGACATGCTCACACATCTGGCCATTACAATTTCCATTCCTGAACAAATTCATTATCTTTGAAGAATCTCTTTCTGCTTGTTATTTTAGGTTGACTGTAGAATACTGAAAAATGGTGTTAAGAGATGGTTAAAAGACCATTTCTTTCACAAAGGACAACAGAAATGGAGAGGTGGCAGAGGAGGAAATGATGGGTTTCCAAAGTGTAGTTTACTTGATTGAATATGTAGGATTTCTTTTAAATTTATTGATTTGGTGATTACATAGTAGCGATACCCTTGACCAAAACTCCAGGAAACGGAGTTTTTTGGTTGTTTTATTTATTTATTTATTTTCTGGCAGGGAGGATGGAGTTTTGGAGGCACTGAGGTTAAAGTTGTTTATGGAGAAAACCAAAAATTGGATATATGTCTTTGGAGTTCGGAAAATTGTGTGTGAATGTAGAGCACATTAATACTACGTTGACAAAATGTTAGCCATGCACTTAAGAAAATATCTTTTTAACCTAAGATCAAAAATATAGCTTGCTTTTTATAAATGTTATCAAATTCCAGAACAGCTGAGAAGTATTAGTCATTTTGAAATTGTAAAAATCCCTTAGTATTTGAAAAAGAATATTAGCAAAACATTTATATTATATAGTAACCTAACACAAACTAGAACAGCAAAAACAATTCCTTCTTAGCTTACTTGATCATTAGAATACTTGTCAATTGAAATGTAAATATTTTCCCTCCTGTAATACTTCTAAACAAGTCCACAATGTTCTTTTGTGTTTGCTTCTGGTGTGTGTAAGTAAAACAAGAATTTTTTTTCCTAATAAAGGAGAAAGATAAAGGACAAAAAATGAGGAAAAATGAGATGTCCTAGAATTTTTTTAGTGGTGACTGCTGCCTTCAAAGTTTCATTTTTGTCAACATCTTCTGCAATAAAAAGCAATAATGGATTTTAGAGAAGAAATGGGTAACAAGTGTATATTTGATACGATTTATTACATTGATGTTTAAAAAACATTTCTACTTAAAATTCAATCAGAAGATCAGCTCTTTTATTATGAGGTTCTTAACACTGCTATACAAGGAGTAGCTGGTTTCCTGGTTGCAGAATAGGAGCTGCACACAGTGTTCCTTCTGTGCACACAGATTTATCAATCACTGCTGAGGATACAAGTTAATCATGACCCCATTAGCAGCATAGCACCTGAAATCACTTATGTAATTAATGACACCAGAATGATCACGGGCATTAAGATCCAGGAGCCAAGTGAACGCCAAAGGGAAACACAAAGAGGCAGTTGGGATGGGAGACCAGGAGAACTAAATGAAAAACTAGAAGTCAGAGGGCCAGGGAAGCTCACATTCTGACTGACAGGCTGGGTTAGGAGATGGGACTCTTTGAGAGGAGAGGTGCCCAGAATCATGGGAGAAAGAAAGAGGTGGAGCCTATGTGGATAAAAACCCAAACCCCAAGGGAGCCAAGTGATTAGAAAATAGAACAGAAAGGTAAACAATGAGGACAATTTCTTTAGTCAAGTGCATTAAACCATGAGAAAAAATGTGGGAATTGTGCAGTAAAGACTAAGAGAGAGTGAATAGGTAGGAAAATACTTTGTTCTCTAATATAGGTAGAAAAAAGTAAGAAGTTAAATCTATTGGATTCTTTTCAACAATAAGAATTTCCCGGCAAAGAAAATTCCAGCATGGCAGGGAGTAGTACTTGAGGCTTCTGACCTCCCAGTTTCCATAACGGTCATTGAATTTCAGTTTGTTTCTTTTAGGAAGGGATTGGTCTTCTGTTTCCTTGCACATGGTCCTTCTACTGTTCAAGGGATAAGCACCCTTTGATGAGGAAAAGCACCTGGTATTTTGAGTCTTTATGATATTCCATCTCAAAAAATTGCTAGTATAATTGTGATAGGCACACTTCACTTTAGGTCAGCCGGTCATGGAGATGGGGGTAATCTAAGGCTAGTGATTATATCCCACAAAGGAAAACAAATTCTTAGAGTCTCTTTGATTTCACCTAATCAAAGTACCTCATTAAAAATAATCAGACAACCATGATAAAAAAAAAAAGAAAGACAGCAAGCAAATCAAAACAAACAGTAGTTTGTTCAGATGTGGTAGGATCTAAAATTTTTCCTAATCTGATCTTCTTCCCCAGCTTGCTTCATAAATTCCCCTAAAGGCTGAGGCACTGGAACTCCTTCAGACTTCAGTTGTCTGTGTATCTCAAAGAACAGACATTCTGTAACTTCAGTACTACTAGGCCCCATAGCATTTTGTAGGTACTTGCTAAATTTGAAGCTGAGTAATGCTTAGAATGTTACATTGTATTATAAAAATCTTCATTTTTGTAGCTTTCTCATGATGTCTCCAATATGTCACACAAATACAACAGAAACCGAATCTGCAATACCTAAGGGGGAAAAAAAAAAGAAATTGTTACTACTTGTCTATTCTCTCTTCAGATACCTTTTAAACAGCAAATTAAAACTTAGTTGTCATTTGGGTTAGAACAAGTTAGTATCTACTAAGAAAACAATTTAATGGAGGCAACAAATAACAACCTCAAAAGTTAATATTAGAACAGATGCCTAATATATTTGTTTCAAGAAACTAAACTAAAACAAAACAAAATAACTCTGAAAGATTTGCTAATTCAATAGGTGAATGCATCTAAGACCTCCATTGCACTAATATATATTTCTTAAAAGAAACAAAATAACTTATGATATTATTTTAAATATAATTTAAAAATTTAAACTAAGATTTGAACTTGTAACTAGTGTCCTCTACTTTCTTAACACAAAACAACAGAGATCTCAACATCATGGTGAATGTAATAAATGGACTACTTGAAGATYGGATTTCATTGTAACTTACCACATCTTTGAAAATCTCTTGGGGCTGTAAAATACTATCTGCTTTACACCAATATTCATTGGAGTTCTATGACCTTCATATAGTCTATAACTTGAGGAAGTACTCTTATGAAAGATATATGGATTCCCGCATGTAATTAATAGCCAGATAGGCCCCTGGAGAATCACATTGTGAATGCAGATAGTAGCTATCATCCCTGGTAGCTGAAGCAATTATGAACCAATGTCTGAATTATGTTCTCGCAACTCTCCGGTCAGAGCTCTGAAAATAGCTACTGCTTGGCACAAATATAGGTGCCTCCACTTTCATAGTTAGGGATAGTGTACATCAGTAGTAGAGGTTCAAAGAATGACTGCAGTAATTTATCTGCCAGCTCTAATGATATAACATCACAGTGATATTGAAAAACAAGAGGCCTGAATGGATTTCTACTGCTCTGGCCAACAGACTTCTGGCTCCTTTCAATGAGTTTAAGAAAAACATTTCACTATGGTGACAGAACAGGCCATTTATTAATTTTCATGGCTTCTGCGTATGGAATGATTAGACAATAGTCGCCAGATTGAATTGACATTCATACACATTTTTCTATGACTCTTTTGTCAGTCTTACAATCTAGAAAGTTCTGCAATTTTTTTAAAGTTATACACTACAGATGTTAAAACTTGCAATGAGAGATGATTGTTTTCACACACAAATTAGTTTGGACCTAGTTTAATTCAGAAGATAAGTTGATTTTCTAAACCAAAAATTTTAGGATGTAGTTTTGAATACAGTTATAAGAATACAGTTTAAAATAGTTAGCTTTTTGTTTTAGTTTCATCTATGGTTAATTTTTTTTAAGTTCAATTAAAAAGTATGTTTGGTATTTGGCTAACTCTCTCAATTCCAGCAGGTGTTTTGCTAGAATTTTGTAGGCAAGAAGAGACGAATTAAGTCAGAAACAATGCTATTTCTCAGATTTTCAAATTTTAATACAAAAAAAAAATCTTGATCATGATTTCTGCCTGCCTGACTTCCTTCCTTTTTCCTTTCTCCCTTTCTTCCTTCCTTCCTTCTTTTCCATGCTGAGGATGGAACCCTGGGCTTTGCACATGCTAGGCAAGCACTCTAACACTGAGCTACTTCCTTAGAGATTCTTGATAATCATAGTGATAAAAAGTAGGAGAAATTGAGGGTTATAAAAAGTAAGTTAAGGGGGCTGGGATGTGGCTCAAGCGGTAGTGCGCTCGCCTGGCATGCGTGCGGCCCGGGTTCGATCCTCAGCACCACATACAAAGATGTTGTGTCTGCCGAAGACTAAAAAATAAATATTAAAAATTCTAAAAAACAACAAAAAAAGTAAATTAGGAACAAGGAGACATTTCTGGAGGAGTTCTGTTTCTAAGTCAAGTGCTTATGTGGTTTGAAGTAGTTGACTTTAATAAGTTATTAGTTTATCTTGTACTTTGACATATACATGTATAATACATATAAATTTTCAGTGTAGTCCTCTTCCTTTATAAAAATGTGAATAAGTGCAAGAGTGCCTCTTTTTAAAACATTCTTTATTTTCATCAGTTGGTTAAAGGATGAAAATTATTACCACGATAAGTGCTCTGAGCACACTGGAAACATTCTATAAAATAGACAGGTTTGTATTTCTAATATTTTCAAAGAACCTTCCTTGATATTTAGTCTGAAGTTTTAAACACAAATTCATTACTTACCACAAATATTACCTCCCATTTTTACATGGGCATAGCCATCTACTCCCCATGAACTTCCCCATGAGTTCCGCACAATCCAATATGGAATATCTCCTACAAAACAAAACATAAAATGGTAAGAAACTCTGAAAAACTCACATTTGCTATGAATGCATGAATTCTGTAGTTAAATTTTGTTTTCCTATAAGTATAGTACTTCTGAGAAAAAGATTATCAATGTAATATTACCATTTTCATTATGTTATATTGTATAAATACAAGTAACCTAGTTAAACTTGAGCTGTAACTTGTGTCACACTCCAATCAATAGAAATATGCCTTTGAATTCATTTTGCTTAATACAGATGGTATAGAATCAAAAATCAAAACAATACACCATTTCCAGGGATTTAGGGAAAGAAAAAATCACTCAGTATGTGGTAAATTAATTACCRCTTCTCTTTTCCAAAAAATTATCCTAAATATTTCAGATGGAGAATGTACACTCTTTAAATAGGAACATTATCATTATGATGATGAGGATGTAGCTCAGGGGTAGAGCACCAGTCTAGCATGTGCAAGACCCATATAAAGTCTTCAGCACCACAAACAAAACGAAAATGTCATTATCAAAAATTGGTAGATGAAACCTGATAGGATATTTACACATAGATCATTGACAAGGTGGTTCTTGGACACAGTAGATCAAATTTCAATATTCTATGGACTGTCCATACTCAGGCACAGTTCAATCTGGAAAGCAAGCAATTGTGTCTTATTAGCACTTACCTGTTTTATCAAATCCACTTATAAGAACTGCATGATTGGCTTCTCCACTAGAGCAATGATGTTGTATTATGCCTCCCAGATAATCTTGCCAGCTCACTGCATCTACTATCACTATTAAAGGGCCAAAGGCAAGAAGTGCTTTTGCCATTTCATCTTCTTGGTCACTACCAAAAGAGGAATTATTTAGGTAAATAATTTAACGTTTAAGGTAAAAATAAAAATGATCCATATATGATTAGGAGTAGGCTGAGTTGCAATTCCAAAAGATCTAAACAACAGAAACTAAAGGACATCTCACAGATTACTATTTCAGGATTGTATGGGGCTCCAGGATATCAGTAACTCACATTCTTCTTATATTATTATTCTGCTATGATGTTTCTATTCTCAACATCTGTGCATAGCCCAATACAGCTGCTGGTGCTCCAGACATTTAACATATATTTCGAACAGCACAAAGTAGAAGAGAGAAGAAGTGCTACACCTCCATCGAGAAGACTTCCCAGAAATAACATCCAACATTTCTGCACATGTGTGCATAGATCTCACTGGCCATAATCCAGTTTTATGGATATATCTGCCCTAAAGGAAGACAGGGAATAGAGTTTTGAAGCTGGCACCAACAAATCTAGTTAAAACASAGGGATTCTTTTAATAATGAAAGTGTTAAGACTATATATTTGGAAAGACTGCCACACGATGCGAGAATCAAGAGATGATGAATTTATGTTAATGAATGTCAAATATAGAAATTATAGGGAAGATTTGCTCAAAACTAGCTAATATAATTAAACAATAGAAGAGAGAGAGAGAGAGAGAGAGAGAGAGAGAGAGAGAGAGAGAGAAGAAGGAGGCAGGGGAGGAGGAGAAGGAGGAAGATGAGGAGGGGGAGGAGGGGGAGGAAGGGGAGGAGGGAGAGGGGGAGGGGAAAAAGTGCTAAGATTTAGGGAAGTGCTAAATTGCCAGGGCTACAAAAGACCCAATTATTGCTTTCACAATTGTTCTGGACAGCTACCAACACAATTTCATGTTACACAACATTTGGCCTTCATTGATCTTGCAAGTATGTGATCAAACCATTATTTACCTTTCTCAAAGATCAGCTTTGTGGGTAAAGCACACTGAAACCAAGTTACTGATAGTTCAGGCCATTAAGATAGCATTTGGTAACTTATTGCTTCAGCAAGCCATGGGTGGGTTAATGGCTTGAAAGAATAAATAATCCCTCCTCCTGCCCTGCTGGGGACAGTGTCTAGCAAGGACACAGAGGAGGAAAATCATGAATGCATAACAATGGAATTCACTGAAATAGAAACACTGCATTCATTTCACATATTTGTGCACATAATCTTCTCATCAAGATTTATTTATCTTATCACCTTCCCTGTTACTGCCACTTCATAATTTTGTATATTTCCATCTTATCTTCCTTAGAATTGATTACATTGTACTGTGTCCTGTGTTATTTCTGTAGAATACTTTAATATGTAGTGGGTTTCTTTCCTTTAATTATATTAGATAAAACATTTGTTCATGAAATTTTTTTCGGAGGTTTGTAAGCAGGTGTTTCTAATTTTTGCTCTCCTAAATGGTACTAATTAAGATTATGCAAAGATAGGATATTATTTTTTAAAAATATATAAATTTATTAAAAAGGTAATACAGACTTTGACTTTTCCCAAACCTGAGTTCAAATTCCAGTTGTACACTGGAGTTATTCCACCCATCATGCAGAATGAACATAAGCAAAAAATTACATAATTTTATGGTCTGTGTTATGCAACATGCCTAGAATGAGTTATACAATAAACTTATAAGAAACATTCTTCCCCACATTTATGTCATCTAATAACTAATTCTTTTGAGCACAGGTTTTAGCATATACTGTACAATTTATTGTCTTTAAATTCTTTGAATATTTTGCAGCTTAAACATGACATATGACATAATTTGTGTATTACTAGAACACAGGTGTTTTATATCTACTTGAAATAATTAAAGGTACACTATAGATATATCATGCAGATGATCCAGTTATTGGGACACCAAGGGAGAAGCAGAAAGATTAAGAAGGAGAAATATTCTTTAGAATGTAAAAGATTATTAATTTTGTATCATCAAACATATAACTAGTAAAAATCACTACTTTGAGCCAGGATAAAGAGAGTTATCAAAGATATTAAAAAATCATACATGGGATGACACACCAAGTCACCAGCAGCAGAAAAACATTCCACCTGGGCCTGGAACTGAGTGGCACTGTTGTCACTTGACATATAGAAAGACACTGCCTTTTGGAAAGCCGGGATATATTCCAAATAGCATCTTTATTTCCATGATTAGCCCCATATACAACTAATATAAAAGTGCACACTGTTGCATATATCATATATATATCAAGCCTTGGTTCCAGGCATGCACTATTCATCTCATAGATCAATAATTTACAGAAACTATAGAATCTTTAAAGAATTCTCCTAATTCTCAGGAGGCTGAGGCAGGAGGATTGCAAGTTTAAGGCCAGCCTCAGCAAGTAAGAGAGGTCCTAAACAACTTAGTGAGACCCTGTCTCAGAATAAAAAAGAGTGCTAGGGATGGTGGCTCAATGGTTAAGCTCGATTGGGTTCAATCCCTTGTACCAAAAAAAAAAAAAGTTCCCTTAAACTTTATTGTCATCAAGATCTGTTGCTTAAGTTACATCTTCCATGTCACCACCACTTCATGATCTCATCTTCCCTAGAACTCAGTGCACTGTACTGTGTCCTATTTTTCTTTTTTTTTTTTTCTCCATTGGTATATAGTAAATTTCCTTCATTTGTCAGTTATTCTCATACTCTAATTTTTAATTTTGGAATGCCTCTCTTGGGGTCTGATAAGCAAAGGCTCAGTATGAATGGTTATTTTGCTTATAGACTAGATGATGTTATCTGTGTTATGATCCCCCCCCCCCCACACACACACACACACACTTAGATCTTTTCAGTTTCTGCATGATGTTTTATCAAGATTTTGGCTAAGAACTGTGCACTGAAATGACATTTTCCCCAAACCCTGCAAACCATGATCTTAGGATCTTAAGAACAGACAGGAGGAAACAGGTTCAGAGCTGGACAGATCTAAGTCCTAGCCCAGTCCTACAGTTTAACAGGGAGGTGACTCTCAAGCCTCAGGCAGGCGCACACTTCAGATGGAAATGTGTGGTGAAGTGCCACATTATGGAAAGATGCCTAGGAAGACCTTCCACATGCCATGGCCCTCCCCACTGCCATACAGGCCAGCTGGCTTCCAACAAGGAGACCCTGAGTTCTTTGCCTCTGTCTCTTACAGAGCCAGGAAATCAATTAACTCCTTACCTGCTGCCTCAACTGAGGAATCCTTGAAGCCAGTAAGCATTGGCTGGATGCGATGGCTCGATAGAGCACGCTTTGCCTTGGCCCCAGAGTTCACAGGTTAAACACCAGGTCACCAACAATCTAACTAGATTCACAAAGATGCCCTTTCTCTGGTTTTGTCTCACTTCTCCACCTCCTACCAGAGTCTTCTGGAATCACTTCCTACACATTCCAGCAGAATGTTTGATATTTCCTTCTAAATCTCTTGTCTTAGACTTTGTTGCCTGGTTAATGGCTATTTTTTCTCTCTCTCTTTCTTTCTTCTTCTTCTTCTTTTTTTTTTTTTTTTTTTTTTTTTTTTTTTAGTTCTTCCATCCTCTTTGTCTCTCTTCTCTCCTACCTACCATAAAATCTGCATAGGGCTTGACCCTCTTTGTGGGTTATCTACCTTTTGTCTCTTTCCAAAACCATTCTGCTGATATCCTGTTCTAAGGTCACTTTTTTGGTGGTCAATAGGACCTCTTCTTCTGTGCGAGTTTTGTCCTTCTCTTAACTGTGGCCACTGGCTCTCATCACTATTCTCCACACACACCTGACATGTCCCCGCCTCAGGACTTTACACTTAGGTTGTCTCTGTTTGAAACAATATTCGCCTAGATGACTGCCTGGTTATGTGGCCACACATCTTCAAATATTCATTCCAATGTCACCTACGTAGGGAGGCCCTCCCTGGCAACATTTTCTAAAATTTCAAACTTCCATTTCCCTCTAACGTTTTCTCACAAGCTTATTATTTTCTTTGAGAAATTACTAGAATTAACACACCATACATATTATTGTTACTGCTTGTCTTGACTGCTAAAATATAGTTCATGAAAGCAGGGGTTATGTCCGTTTTGTTCACTGCTGAATCCTTAGAACCTAAACAATGTTCCGTAAATATCTGAATGAATGAATAAATCAATGAATGATTTCTTGCAGTCTAATACAATCATCTGAAGATTGTACTATCACAGAGTACAATGAGAGTATAATGCTCAAGGTTAAAATATGTGTGTGGCTCAGTGATAGAGTGCTTGTTTAGCGTGTGCAAGGCCCTGGAATTGACCCCCACCCCATACTTAAAAAAACTAGGGTTTCTTCCTTGTTAATCAAAGATCAAATGCCAGTGATATTTGCATATGCTCTTTATCTTCCTGCTAATTCAGACTAGTGTATTTTATTTTCCTTCTTCTTAACTTTTTCAATTTGCTACCCATGACAGGGAATCCCCTGGATCTGTTCCACTCACATTTCAGAAATATAATTCCTTTTGCACACATTTCCTTCTACCCTCAAGGAACTGGCAGATTACCAAGGGACACTTTTTCACTTTGGGAAGGGCATACCTTCACCTCCAAAGGAGACAGTGACCAATGTACACAGTGACCCTGCACATTCTATCATAGACGTTAGATGGCTGCCCAGAAGTGGAATTAAGGCTGTCCCATATATGGTTCCCAGGGCTACCCCCGGGACTTGGTTCAGACAGGAGCCACATGACAATCTGCCAGTCCTCTGGCACACTTAGCTTATTTAAAAGGGTTACATATTGTTCAAGAATTAATTTCACCCTTGGGTTTCTTCAGGTCCCATGGGTAGATACCAACTGGATCAAGAAAGAGATTCTTTTATATTTGGGATCAGTTACCTAATCCAAATTTCATTTATTTCCCATTTTCTGTTTCAAAATATGGTATAAATTTCCCATCATAAGTGAAGCAGGAGGTGGCTGAGTTTTCCTGGGCCCTTTTGCCCCTGAACCTTTTTTCGTACTCCACTGAATGGTCCTAATGATTCTCTGCTCAGCTTTGTGTTTTCATGTGTTTTTAAGGCATACTTTAAGGCCTGTTTTCCCCTAAACCTATCCCAAAGTTATCCTGTCCTTCAGTCTCCAACACAAGAGCTTTCCCAGCCCATCTTTATCCATGCCGGTACTCCCAAGGCATTCATACCATGTGCCACATAGTTTATCTTCGGTATTACAGCTTCACCTCTTGTTTTTAATCTGAGAATTTGGGTATATTCAGAAAAAGCTTCAGTTTTCTAAATAATTGAAGCCTTGAGAAATACCGGTACAATCGAAGGTGTTCAAACAGTGCTTCTTGGTGTATAGACTATCTGATGTTAGCCAAAGAATCTACACAAAGTGATTTTGAATTGATTCAACTGTAAGACTGAAATATGCCCATGGCATTATAACATGCAAATTTGGTAAGAAGTATGCTGTAAATATAAATTATACCTTAAGCTGATTTAAATTTGTTAATTTGAATTTTTTATTTCTAGTTTAATGGCACCTGGAAAAATAAGATTACCTTTAAGAAACATCTTATAACACTGTGCTGTGACTGCCAGTGAGACTGTCTGGTAAAAAGTAGGTTCTAAAGTAATTGAATATGTAGTGATGTCCTCAAAAATCAAGGGGTCCCAAATATCTAGGACATCATGCACTAAGAATATGTAGAGAGGGGCTGGGGTTGTAGTTCAGTGGTAGTGCACCTGCCTAGAATGTGTGGGGCACTGGGTTTGATTCTGAGCCTACAAATAAATAAATTAAATTAAACTCCATTGATAGCTAAAAAAAAAAAAAAAAAAAAGATATGTAAAGAAAACCAAAACAAGATGTTTACCTGAAGTCATAGGCATAATAACCTCTGATTGAAACTCCAGAATGTGAACTGGAAAAGTAATGACACAGGCTGTTGTGGGCTTTAAACGGGTATTCTGAATCTCCCACCAGTTTTACTTGTGTCTAAAAGAAAGCAATCACCCAACATGTTCATGTGTTAGTTATTTTGAAAAATCAAAGAGAACTTAACTTCAGTTGTCAAACTGGGCTCATGTTCACACCACCATCATATGGGTGCACTTTGGGTTCTTATGATCTTAAATTAAATCCTAAGTTCTTGTTGTAGACATCCTAGACAACTAGAATCAGCACAGTTCTTTCTCTTCTACTCCTGTTTCTCTTGTATGTTTCCTCCTTAGAACTAGCACCCATCTGCTAATAAAGTCTCATCATCTTTTTTTTGGGGGGGTACCATATGGTAACTATAGTAACATACTTTCCTTTCAGGACTTCTGACTCTGTCAGCAAGTCTTGGAGATCAGCACAGTGGTGCATACACAGGTGATGGCTAGGCCCAGCATTCTTTCCATCACTCCTCTTTCTGCCACTCATCTAGAATATGTCATGTTATTTTAGGTTGTCTGTACAGAATCCTCCCTTTAGGAATGCCAGGCTTAATGGAAAGGAAGGGACATACATTTTATTATTGTCTATACTGAGTGTTCAAATACAGCAAATGTATAATGGAAGGACCTTGGGTGTGGGAAATTCTAGCTTGACAAGTTCTTATAAAACTATATTGGAACCCTCATTGGCTCGTTTCATGTTGTTGATGTTGGATGTGGAAAAATATCAGAGAGTATCCATAAAACTGAGAATATTGAACAAAGCCCTGAAATTGGAGGGAGGGGATTTAAGGTGCAGTTCTGGCTCAGTGATTGACTAGGAAACATAATCTTGACCTTCGGGTCTCATCTCATCATCAGAGTTACAAAATTAGCTGATCTCTATTGTCCCTGTAACTTTCAGAAATCTTATAGAAATGAGTAATAACGGGCTGGGGATGTGGCTCAAGCGGTAGTGCGCTCGCCTGGCATGCGTGCGGCCCGGGTTCGATCCTCAGCACCACATACAAACAAAGATGTTGTGTCTGCCGAAAACTAAAAAATAAATATTAAAATATTCTCTCTCTCTCCCTCTCTCTCTTAAAAAAAAAATAAAAAGAAATGAGTAATAACATACTCTAATTACTTTCTGGGGCATTATGTATTATGCAATCATGCAAAAATACCTATTAAGAATTGTTAATCTAGGTGTGGTGGTGCATGCCTGTGATCCCAGAAACTAAGGAGGCTGAGGCAGGAGGATTCTGAGTTCAAACTCAGCCTCCGCAAATGCAAGGTGCTAAGCAACTCATTGAGACCCTGTCTCTAAATAAAATACAAAACAGGGCTGGGGATGCGGCTCAGTGGTTGAGTGCACTGAGTTTAATCTGGGTACTACACCCAGCCAAAAAAAAAAAAAGTGCTTAGACATAAGCATAAATGTCCTTCTGAAAACAAATCTCAGATAAGATTTTTCATCCTTTGATATCTTGATGGCTAATTTTCTTAGGAGCAAGTACTTTTTAGATCCTCTGATTAATTTAAATTTTGGTCATCTACATTTCTGAATATTGAAACAACATTAAATATATGAGAGTAATTGAATTTGGAACACACATTGAACAAGAAAAGAGGAAATCAAGATTCAAAAGGCTGAGACTAGTCACCTTGTTCAACCAGTTCAGAGCACTGACAGGAGAGCCTCCTTCGCAGCCGTAGTTATTATATGAACAGTCGATGACTTGCTGCACACTCAGGTCTTCCAAAGGCTTCCCTCTTATGGCATATACTGATTCCACTGCACCCACCACACTGAAGGCCCAGCATCCTCCACACTGTTCAAAAGTAGAAAGAGAGGTTGTATTTATTATGTAGTAACGTCCAAGTCAAATTTATCAATGTTTCTAAATATAACAACTTATCAAATCCAGCAAAGGTTCCAAAACTTGGAAATCTATAAAATATACATGACCATCCTCTGAATTTTCAAATTAAGAAAGAAAAGAAAACCAAAATCCTCTTTGAGCAATAACATCTCTTAATTGAAGCTGAATTAGTAAGATCATCATTGTAAATCAGATGATGCAAGATAAAGTGAAGCATTAGGGATTGAGAAAACACTTGGACTGATGAATCTTTTAACTAACACATTTTTAAAAATATTTTTTTTTAGTTGTAGATGGACACAATATCTTTATTCACTTATTTATTTTTATGTAGTGCTGAGGATCAAACCCAGTGCCTCACACATGCAAGGCAAGCACTCTACCACTGAGGTACAGCCTTAGCCCAAGACTAGTACACTTACAGAACATATAACTTCTGTTTATAAGTGACTCCACTCCCAGACGCTGTTTACTGACTTTCACACCACACCTCAATCCTTCTTGCTCCCCCCCCCCCCCGCCGGGTGCTCTGCTTCTATGTTCATATACCACCTCCATCCCAAAGGTTGTCAGTGATGAGAATGCATGTTATACTCATTGTGCAATAGAAACAGGAGTTGAACAAATTATTATTAGGACTATCAAGATGCCAGTAGATACCTATTAGGTATGCATACCATTAGGTATGTACTTGAAATATCCTAATCATACAAACCCATATTAGTCATTCCCCAAATATTGGCTACCATTTTTAATGATTAATGGGTCTATTAGCTTGCTTTCATTTCACAAAAAAAAAAGAACAAAAGAATGAAAAGGGCCGATCCTAATAGAAAGGAAGGGGACAGAAGGAATGCAATTAAGGATCACATTAAAAGAGGATGATTCACAGAAAAGGCAAAGGATACACTAGAATTTTAAACTGGACAGAACTAACTAAACGATAAAACCAAGTGATATAGAGTTGACATAAAAAAGAACAACTGGGTGCCTTTGTGGAATGATATTTTGAACAACCTTAGGATGCCAGTGCCATCTGTTAAGTGACCCTATAGTATGATCTCTAAACCTTGAGAAATGTGAGTACAGGTTGCTGACACCATACCAATAGCTAGCTTTAGTCAAATCACAAGGCAACTCCTGCTATCAAAAATCTCTCCAATAGGTTCCCTTTTAAAAGATTCATAATTAAAAGTCCCCTTCCAAAACAATGTGGAACTTCTTGGAAGCACTGAGTTGTTATGAACCCAATCATAATGCAGATGATTTGGTTGTAAAATTTAATGCACAGCAATAAATATTGAATTTGAGAATGAATAAAATTCATTCTAAATTGATAGCCATTGAGAAACTTCTGGGTCCATAATACTTTTTACACAAGGGATGGCTGAATGACCTGTTGAGGTTTCCATTGTAAACAAACTGAGAATATCCCCTGTGGTTGGGGCTTCACTTTCCCTGGTGGCCTGCATTCCCTGTGTCTTTGGTGGGGTGCACAGGGGTAAGGATTGCCAAGCACACATACACACTCACGGAGCACAAGGTGGATTACTACCTGCATTGCAGGTCATGCCCATGCACAGCCAGTGTTACCAATTCCCTTCTCATTTGGGATCACCCTCCTTCTACCACTTCACAATCACCCACAGCCTCAGACCTTCCAACTCTCATTTCCTCAAACACACTTGGGGTCTTTTTCAAGGGAACTTGGTTTATTTATTATAATACTTACACATTTCTTGATAATTCAACAAATATAAAATTGTGCTACCATGTTTATTAGTTTCTGATCTGCTTTAAAAATGTAGCACTAAGTTTTTAAGCACCACAACCTAACCTAATTTCTCTCATAATCCCTGCAATTTTGTTGGACAATTGTGCACAGATGGTGATTTTTAGCAACGTATGTGTCACCTTATGGATGAACTGACTGTACTTGGAAAGAGCACTGATGAACAGCTGTGTGATCTGAGCTCATAGGAAGAAGCTGAGAACCCAGAAGGTTCGGCTAGTCTGTTGATAAATGTATTCAGTCTCATTTTACTTCTTCAGACCATACTGTACTCCCTTTTGAATCTCTCAGTGGCCAGGTCTACCTTCTCCAGCCTTTCAGTTGTGAGTCTATAACAGGTGAACAAATGTGGAATATGGGTAGTTACTGAGATAGTATGCTGGTGCAATGGCAATTAATGAGCAAATATACCAAGGAAGATTTACCTTCAGGAAGGAAAGCTTGGGACTGACATCTTCCTCTCATGTCTCAAAGATCCCCTTCTTTGTCATTTTTGGATGACTGAGGCACGATTTTACTCAGATAAATGGATTCACCATAAGTTTGAACTTGACCTCCAAAGCACTTTCCAACCTTTAACTAATGAAGACAAGGAAAATATAAAACTTACCATCTCCTGGTTTCTCACTTGTGTGACAACATGTTTGTCCCTCCAGTCGAATCTTACTGCCAATGACACATTGGGGATGGGTGTCTGTACTCCTGCTGGGTATCTGGGAAACCTGGTAGATGTGCTTCGTAAATATATGGCTAATAGAAACAGGAAACAAAAAAAAAAAAAAAGTCAACCAACAGTCTTTTTTAAGGAGGACCCTTGGGATTCTTTCTGGAGCATATTTTCAAGCAAAAATAGCTTTTTGGTGAACCTGCCATTTGGGTTTTCCCCTCTCTCCTCCCTCTCTCTCTCTCTCTCTCTCTCTCTCTCTCTCTCTCTCTCTTATTTTTTTATATAACAAGAAATGCATTCTGCTGAAGGCTACAAAAGAGAATTCCTATAATAAGTTTGGAGCTGACATATAAAATGACTTGTTTGATAGAAACTGTTTAATAACAAAAATGAGTATAATTGACATCATTTCTTGCCATAATCCAAGAAATCAAGGTATTCTGAATGTAAATGGTACTAAAAAATTTCCTTTATAACCACATAGACATACATATAATATTTAGTTCTTAAGCTTCAATTAACAGACAGTAGCCATTAATTTATTTTTCTTACGGTTAGCCCATGACACATGTATGACAGTAATTATTTAATAAATAACTRTTATTTATTCAATTTACAATTAAATAATTCCTCAAAAATCGAGCAAAGAAATTAAAATCAGTAAATAAATCAACAAATAGTACCATCAGATCATACCTTTAAATTCTTCAGGAAGCAAATAAGAAAACTGATTTACTCCATAGAAGGCAGAGGAGTTGTCATGAGGAAAAAAAGAATTCAAGTACTGATGTCTATTAAGGCTTTCCTAAAAGGGAGAAAAAAAAAAGTCATTTTATATCTATTATATCAACTCTCCAAAGAAATCTGTTGATAGCTCACTTAGATACATTTTGCAGGTGCATAAGCTAAAGCTTGATTTATTTCCTGCAGATTATAGTGAAAATTTTTACATGACATCTCCATCAGATTTATGAACATTTTGTATGTAATTACAGACTTCAAAAAAATTTTTTTGAAGCTGGGCAATGTATGTCTTATCCTTTAACAGTTCCTCTTCGCCACACATTAAGAGCATTACAAATATATTTGGCAAACTCCTGACGTAGAAGAAAAAAAAAGAATTGCAGACCAGCATGGTGAGACAATAGTGGCAAGATGTCACTGATGGACTGTCACTGGTGACTAAACAATTATGAATATGGCAAGTGCCCTCTTCATCTTTGTTTTCCTCAGTGGCTGAGTAGTGAAGAGTGTAACAAGGATTAAGAAAATAAATGAATGAAGAAGTCTAATTCTAATTAAAGCTAGAGAGAGCTCTATCTCATTTGGAGCAAAAAGCTTTGTGAAAGAGATGCAAACTTGAAAATGTTCCTGGAAGATTAGCCAGGGTTTTCTATCTGGAGGGAAATATGTGATCATTATTTATAGATTCGTAAACTCTGAATTTTGCTATGATTTATTTTAGACTTGCTGTTTCTATGAAGGCCCTTTCATTTCTTAACACCAACACATGATATGGGATAAATGAAACCTCAGAAGACTATTGTCAGGATTTGGACCTCTAATTGCCACTGTAAAGTTCATGGTTTGAAAGCCTGGTTACCAATCAGCAAGGTTCAGATGTGGGACTCTTAGGCAATTAATTAGATTATGGGGACTGCAACCTCATCAGTGGATTAACCCATTTGATGGGTTAATAATATGAATGGACCACTGGGTGGTAACTGTGGGCAGGTTGGGCATGGCTGGAGGTAGCAGGTCACTAAGGGCATAGCCTTGGACTATTATCTTGTCTCTGCCTTCTTGCTATGTCTCTCTCTGCTTCCTGGCTACTATAAACTGACAGCTTTTCTCTAACATACTCTTCTGCCATGATGTTCTGCCTCACCTCAGGCCTAGAGCAATGGACTCACTGAAACCATGAATCCAAAATAAACTTTTCTTCCTCGAACGTGTTCTTGTCAGGTATTTTGGTCACAGTGATACAAAGGGTATCACTAACACAACCATGGCAGCCATGAGGATGCACCTCACAGACTACAGAGGTCTCCCCTGCTGCTCACTGAATTTTTATGATGGAACAAAGGGAAGCCACAGTCCCCACAGGCTGCACATAGCTAGTGACTGAGCACTGAGGCTGGCTGGCTGGGGGGAACATGGAACTCTCTCCCTCCCGACAGCTGATTCTTAATGATGCCCAGATGGCTTTGCCAAAGCTTCAAACATCCTTTGTACTGAACAGAGTACAGGATGCTTCCCCAACCTCCCTGCCCTCTGGCCTTCACTCAGGGTTGTAGTTACAATGCAGCCAGATAGCTCCCTCTGGCCCACTCCCCAGTCTCTCCCAGGCTCTGCTCCTGTGACTTAATCCCCCCAAAAAAGAAAGAAAAAAATAAAAAGTAGAGAGATAAAAAGAAGATATAAATGACCAATATTAGGAGTGAAAGAACCATGATTACAGATGATTCAGGCATTAGAAAAATAGTATTTTGAGAACTTTACACCAATAAGTTTTGACCTGTATGAAATAAGACACACTCCCTGAAAAACTCAGAAAGCTGAAAGTAAGATAAATAGAAAAGTTGAACAGCCCTTCATCAACTAAAGACATTGAATTCACAACTGAAAATGTACCCATGAAGAAAATACCAGGCCCAGATGGCTTTATTGGTGAATCTATGTAATTAAGAAAGAAATAACACCCACTTCACAGAATATAAAGGAGAAGAGACTACTATACAATTTACACAAGACCAATGTTACCTTAATTCTGAACCAGAAAAAAATTCTCAAGAAAACAGAACTACATACCAATAGCTCTCATAATTATAGGTGGAAAACCCGATAAAATATTAGCAAATAAAGTCCAATAATATATCTAAATGACAACACATCATGATCAAGTGAGGTTTATTAAAAATGGTTGGTTGTTTTAACATTTAAAAATCAATTAATATACTATATTAACAAACTAAGGGAGTAACAAAAATGGAATGTTTTCAATTGCATAAGAAGTTCTAAAAGCTGTTTCCTGATTAAAAAAAAAATTCTCACCCAAAACCAAAAATGACAACATTTCATGATTGAAGAGATTCATGAAAAATTTATATCTTATCTCATAATGAAGGACCCAAAACTTCCTTTCTCAAAACAGAAAAAAGAGGAAGAATGTCTCTTCTCATTACTTTTTTATTTTACAAAGGTACTGGAAATCCTGTTCTATTTGATAAAAACGAATAATAAGTAAAATAAAAACATTTTAATAAATAAGTAAAACTGTCTGTTTTTCTAGGAAACAGGGTAATATAAGTAGAAATCCAAGGAAATATGCAAAAATGCTATTTAATTAATTTATTAAAATAAATGTTTGCAATATGATAAGATGAAAGGTCAGTGTAAAAGACTAATTGCATTGTTTTTTTTAAAAGAGAGAGTGAGAAAGAGAGAGAGAAAATTTTGTTTTTTAATATTTATTTTTCAGTTTTCGGCGGACACAACATCTTTGTTTGTATGTGGTGCTGAGAATTGAACCCGGGCTGCACGCATGCCAGGCGAGTGCACTACCACTTGAGCCACATCCCCAGCCCTGCATTGTTTATACTAGCAATAAGCTATTAAAAAATAAGACTTTAAAATTTAATGATTTTTATTAATATGAAAAATGAAATTAATTTTTAAGTATTTTTAAAAATGAGCAAATTTAACAAAGTTGTAAGATTTGGACATTGAAATCTACAAACTATTACAAAAAAAATTAAGAGATCCAAATTAATGGTTATCCATACCATGTTCATGGTTTCAAAGGCTCGATATTGTCTGTGACAGTGATCTTCCCTGAAAAGATTTACATATTCAATGCCATTCAAATTAAAATCTTAATTTTTTTAAAGAAACTGATCACTTGGCAAGGGTTTTTACAGTTTGATACCAAAGGAAAAACAATGTCAAAATCAACAGAATTGACTGAAAAATAAAATAAAAACTTCAGCATACCACAAAAACCATAAATAAAACTGAAAAGGAAAAGCAAGTTTATGCAAATGGCCCATGAGTAAAAATTAAGAATATTATCATTCAAGTGCCTCTTCTAATGAATAAGAAAAAAAATACCAATAGAATGAAAATATAACAAATATTATCAAAAATAGAAAAACTATTGATTAGTAAAAATATAATTTCTTCAATTTCAGTAGTAAAATGATGCTAAATAAAACAATAATAGCATCTTATTTCTGTTTATGAAATTTGCAAATTGATCAAAAAATAAGACACATTCTTCAGCCATAGGACACTAGAATATACCACACACATATAAGTTGTAAGTTAGCAGAGCCTTGCAAAATCCTTAAAACTGCACAAATTGTTTAACCAAGGAAGTCTAAATCTTGTAATTTATTTTATTATTATTACTATTATCATTATTATTATTTTGTAGTGCTGGGGATGGCCTCACATACCCTAGGGAAGCACTCTATCTCTGAGCTACACCCCAGCCTAGAACTTTATTTTAGATTYATGGGTGTGGGAAGTGTTGTAACTCCAAGCATTCAATGGATGTATTTGCGGGCATTCATATGAATGTGCAATTGGGAAGGGGAGGCAGGAGTCTGGCCTCACTCTTGATGTTCCATTAGAGACATAATGCAATTATATCTTTTCTAGATCATTTTTGTTATCCTATGAGAAAAAGAACATATTATCTCTGAGTTACTAATGTCATACTAAAGCCCAAAAACTTAAAAATCAACAAATTCACACATCATCTTGCTCCCAGTGAATCCCCAAGTACCTCTCTTAATCTCCTTGCCTTATGAATGTCATTTTATCATCCAGTTTTTAGTCATCCTGCTTGTGAAGCAGCTATAACAACACCAAAATAACAATGAAAGAAATGAAATAGTATTGACTTGTTTTAAATATTCATGTCCCTAATTTTCTACAATGATTTTAAAAACAGTTACCTATTTTTGGTATTTTATTTATTTTATTTTTTATTTGTTCTAATTAGTTATACATGACTGCTGCAGTCTGGCTGGGCAAAACAACGGGGGGGGGTGCTAAGCAACTTGTGAAGGTTGATACAGCGGGAGCCGCTTTATTGTAGGACAGCAGAGGTATTTATACATAACTGAATACACAGCTTGACTCAATTTAGCATCATCCAGTTACAGCAATCAGTCATTAAGGAATCCTCATCATCTTAATAATTATACACGGCTTAACTTAATTGACATAATCTAGACACAGTAGTCAGTCATTAAGGAATCTCCATCATCTTAATGGCTTGCTGGCATTACTTCTCAAACCACTCCTCTTGGCAAAGTGCCAGGTGCCATCTTGAATTGTCTGTGGCCCACAACACACGACAGCAGAATGCATTTCAACTACTTATTGTTCACAAATGGAGCACAGCTTCTCATTTCTCTGGCTGTACAACTATCTCTCCACATGCACACTTTCTTGGTACTGCCACTTTATATATTGTTCTTTGATTTATGTCAGCAGCACTCATATTTTCAGGGCCTGTGGAAATGTCACTCTCTGCCACTTGTTCAAGTAGAGGTCAGCTTCTAAAAGAATTGCATTTGTTAGACTTGAATGTCATTTCAGTGCAATTACTCCTGTCACTTCAGATTTCTCATGGTCCATTTCAGGGCTACTCAGTATTTATAATTGTTGACTTTTTGCCAAGAGCAAAATATTCTGAACCCCAAAGTGTGCTGCTTCTCCTTCTCCCTACCACCAATCTCTACCCACTTTTGATTCTATTGGGCCACTACTAACATTAAATGTAATTCCTTGGAAGCTTCTGAACAAAACATAATTCTCTTACACATCTACATACATACCACACTCTCTCTCACACTCACACACACACACACACACACACACACACACACACACAAACACACACATCCATTTATGGATGGAATTCTCAAAACCCTTCTTAGTGGCAAATTGAAATGTCTTACTGTTGCAATACAATATTTGGCTATCTGCTCATTTTCTCTGAGTTTTATCTTTTTCATTGACAAATGAGGTAATTCTAACCTGACAGAATGTAGGGGTTAAATAACATAATGCTTGGAAAACAGTACAGTGGCTGGCAGAGTAAAAGTTCAATTTAAATATCCTCATGCTAGATCTTCCTTGGGTTTAAACATTTGGATTATAGAAAATATCATTCAAGGATCATCCTTTCAGTTTTATTTGGGTTAAAGGGGAGCAAAATTTTCTCATGGTATTAGAAATGAGGAGTAATTATTGAATAAAAGCAATCTGTTACTTTTGTAAAAAAATTATATTATCAGTAAAGTATATCCAACAACATTTATTCTCCTCTTTGCTGTAACAGTAGAACCCACATCAAATCCATCCAACATGGGGTTCACATTATTTAAATTTTAAAAAGCCCTTTATTTCATTTCTTGAATTATCTGTTCATTCAAGTGATTTTCCTGGTTGACTTGGATTCTGGCTGATAAAGCAGACTGCACAAAAGCATCATCAACTGTGAGTGTATATTAGCTTCATGCCCCTCATATCAACCACTTACATCTTAGGATCAAGTGTAGAAAATGATTAATTAACATATGTCTTAACATAGGGCAACAGAGGACATAACAGTGAGCTACTACAGAGTTACTATCTCTAAAGTCTTAAAGATATTAAATTGAAAGACCTGAACCTTTTTTTTTTTTAATTTGTTTTTAGTGCTGGGGATAGAATCCAAGGCCTTGAGCATGCTCGGCACATGCTCTACCACTGAGCTACACTCTCAGATCTGAACTTTAATAACATCTAAGAGGGAAAGATTTGAGGAACATACAGGAAACTTCTCATTAGTAGTTGTAAAAGATGCAGAAGTTTGAAAATCAGATAGCTCTTACATGAGAAAAATTAAAGCTGATAAACCACAACAGCCTTTAAATAGAAGTGTTGAAATAGCTACCTTCATATACTTTCTGTTTTATTTTGATGTAAAAGGGATTAATTGATTTACAAGCAGAGATGCCAGATTTCTTCCTGGAAGGTGACTCAGGGTTGAATAACTTGAGTAACTTTACCTGTTATTATAAAACTAGTGAAAACATGTCCTCTGGATGGTAATACATATCCTCTTTCCTAAATCTTAATCAACACTATACTCTGATCCTTTAAAACACTGATGCTAAAGTTACCTTTATAGAGATTCCTATAACTAGAATTTCAAGTTGTCTCTGTGTATGTGTGTGCATGTGTGTGAGCAGTGTGCTCATGTGGTTGAATTGATCGAATATTTGAAATAAAATTTAACTGTGAGATATCCCCAAGCAACCTCTTCAGTTTTCTAATTTGCTGCTTTGCAGATCTACCTAAAATGTTTCATTAATGCTCTGAAGTTCTTACCCACCCACAATCACAAAAGAAGAATAAAATAAGAAACAGGAACCCTTCAGCTTAGTAATGATTAAAAAAAAAAAAAAAGATACTCCACTGATAAGAGAAGCAGTGGAATATGGAGATTAGACTCAAGTTTTAAAATTCTTTAGAGAGCAACATTTTTCTAAAACAATCAGAAAGCCCTTAATTCCATCTCAGGCATCCTGAGCCCCAAAAAACTTTCCAACTTTGATAACAACCATCTTAGAAGTTGCTTGATTAGGATAAGTTGAGAGAGAAATGGGAAATGGCAACTTCTAAGATTAGAAACCTGTGGGGGTGGGTAGGAGGATCTGGAGCTATTTGGTGGTCCTGAACCCACCGCCTGGGAGAGAAATATCAATTCAATCTTTCTCACAGACTRCCTCTAAATAAAAGTAAATGAAATAATGCATTTTTCTTGCATTTACTCAACTGTCTCTTAGGGGAGTAAACAAATCCTTTAACACCAATTGTTGGTCTTTTTGTTTTTGCAAAAGAAAATTTTCAGTCACCAATAACACTAATATAGAGTGGAAGCATTTGGAGGGGTTGTTAGATTTAATGCAAGTATTTGTTCGACCTGCTTCATATAAATGAACTTAGCCCTGAATGAAGCWATTGCTAATATTACTTCCCCTTCACAGAAGAATCAGCTGAGGCGCAGACATACAATCTGYCTAAGGTCACACAATGGGGGGTTTGGTGGAGGGATGTGGCCACTCTGCCTGTAGGGAATCCTCAGAAGAACTAAAGACTTTAAGGGAATTTATGTTTATTTTGTTCACTGAAAAGGCACTGCGGGATTTTATCTCTTTTCCTCATTGGTATCTAGGTTTTCTTCTATTAATGGTGATTTATTTTTCACTACATATATAYACAAAATATTGTAGTATTCCTCTGTGATGAATCCATGCACACAGGGGTAAGTTATATATTGGAATTGTTAGAGAAGCATAAGGTACTTTGTGAGATAATATGTGCTTTTTTGTTGTTTTGGGCTTGTGGTAGCAGAGGATATCAGGGTGGGAACACAAAGCAGAGGTGGCCTGCTCATCTCATGGCTGCCAATAAGCACAAAAAGACAAAGAAAGGGGCCAGAGTCCCAATATCTTCTTCAAAGGCTTTCTCTCCCACCCAAACCTAACTTACTCTAGGCCTCATCTCCTAAAGGTTCTACTGTCTCAAGAGCACTACAGGCTGGTGACCAAGACTTTAGGCCATGTGTCTTTGAGACATGTGTATGTGTATTTTCCCCTAATATCTGCAGGACTTTTACTGCACACAATAGCAGCTGTGATGACAAAAACCTCCATCCTTCTCTAAACCCATGGTCATGAAAGACACCACTAATGGAGTAGACCCTTTCTCCCAATCTGGTCTCCAGTTGGGATCCCCAAATATTTTCAATGCTGCACAGTTCAGGCTGTRTATCCATTAGCCTACAAATATGATGGGACCTATCTGCTATCCCCACTTTTTCAGATATAATTTATAGGTTTTCTCTAGCACAACAAAGAGTGTTTTATTACTCTACTTTTAAAATTTGATTATTAAAAAATTCTCTTCATTATATATAATTAAACTGGTAAATAAACACCATGGATTCTCAACTCAATTCATGAGTTATTCTGAATTTTATTTACCACATATTTTAACCCATCCTGGAGGCCAGAAGAATTCTTCCTAATACTCATGGTTACCAAAGAGAGGGGGCCCTTTCCATCCATCTGTGTCCAGCTCGCTAGCCCAGGTCCAGACAAGCCACATGGATACAAGCGCTATTAAGGCATCTCCACTCAAACCCAGTACCTATTTAGCTTATGAATACACTATTTTCCTCCTGGGGGCTTGGTTCACCAGGAAATGCAACCAAGCTCATGACAAGRATAGAACACAAAACAGAAAAGTCCTGCAAATATTAGGGGAAAATATTCATACACTTCCAATAAGCAGCATCACTGCATTCAAACTTATTTGATTCGGAACGAGTAAATTTTCTTTTATATAACAAATCACATCATAATAATGACATATTTCAAGATCTTTAAGAATGAGTTAAATAATATCAAATATAGAAACATAGCGAGGAAAACTCTAAAGCCATACCCCTTGCAGTTTCCTCAGTTTTGAGAAAATCTTTTTATCATTTACTCAGAAAACTGGTCCTTTGGGGAGTTGTGATGCTACAGTAAAATCGCAGCATGGTTACGAAAATTGCCTAAATAATCTGAAAAGAAAATGTATGCATTTCTTTATCTTCAGAGCCAAAAGTCCCCAGCGCAAGACAACCATTAACCAGCAGGAGTCTGCACTTGGTGTTTCAATGAACTTGGATTACAGGAGGACACTAGCGCCCCCTTCGGGAAGAAAGCTGACACGCTTCTTCCGCCGACAGGCAGCCCCTGTCTCTGGTTCTAGTAAACGCGGAATCTACCCCTTGGGAAGCCAGAGGGAGCCATGAAGGAAACTGCTAAGAGGGGTCGGGGTGCTTTTGTCCATCAAYATTTCGTAGCTCTAGCCATCGATTACCTGGGGTTGACAAGTCCATGGTAAAAGATCTTTCGGTTAGAAATGCCTGTTAGAGACCCTGGCGCAGGGGCCACCCAGAACCCCCCGGTGAGCACGCAGCTCCTAAGCCCCGGGCGCATCACGCCACCGCGGACCCTCTGGGAGCGTCCACCCGCGGGGGTCCATCTTCCCCGCCCAGACCCGGGACAGGAAGGCGACAGAAGGAAACAGGCGCTGGAGACGCGCTCAGTACCCGGAAAGCGGCTGCCTCGTGCTGGCGGCTGGGCGGCCAGGTGCGGGTGGCGTGGGCGCGGGGACCCGCTTGGCCGCGGCCCAGGAGGCACCAGAAGCTCAGCGTCCAGAGCCACCGCAGCGCCATCCCGCGCCGAGCTCGGCCGCTGCCCTCGCGGCTGCTTTCGCTTTCGCGGCTCCGCCCCCTCCGCGGGCTCGGCCTGCGGGAGGGGCCAGCGCGTCCCGGGTCCAGGGTCCCGGGGAGGTGACCCTCCGTGGGGGTCCCCAGGGCTCCTACCTGGGAATCCAGAGAGCTGGAAGCTGTTGGGATTCTTGCTGGTTTTTTAATTTTATTTTTAATTATTTTATTTTTTAAATCTTAAGATACTCAAGGACTTGACCACGTGCTTTTGAGCCTGTTTTATGTGACAACAGGAAAGTACAGCAGCTGCCTTTCCCGCACTCCTAGACGGAAACCCTTGATCTCTCTTCCCTTTATSTCTCATGGATGATTCTGGCTGTTGGTTGAATTTAACTTGGCTCCATTTTCATTTCTTTCCATGRTGCTTTGCTAATATCCCAGACCTGGAATATAGTGCGGGAACTTACACGGAGGCATCCATGAAGCCAGTTTTTATAARCACGTGACAAAATGTTCTGGTTGTGCGAAAATAAACACGTGTTCATGTATAATGTTATGTGCAAAGGACAGAGATGGCATCGACTTCTTTGTTTGTAATGAAATTTTACTTAAGTTCATCATGTCAAGTGCTTTATAAGTTACCTGATCCCTGTTAAGAGCTGTTAGCCGTCTCCTCTGGAAGGAGAGAGCGTTCTTCTTCTTCATACCCGCTTTATTGGGGATCCCAGAGAAGTTTCAGWGAGTGCTGCCTAGGTCCACCTCTTGACTTCTGAGTGACAACATGATGAAGTCAGACTTGCAAGTACCCACTGCTAATGACAACTCTAGGTCACCTTGGCCCATGCTGACCAATTGTAATGGCTTTTCTTTCTGTTTTGGGTAACAGGGATCCAACTCAGGGGTACTCAACCTCTGAGTCACATCCCCAGCCCAATTTTGTATTTTATTAGAGACGAGGTCTCACTKAGTTGGTTAACACCTTGCCCTTGCTGAAGCTGGCTTTGAACTCGTGATCCTCCTGTCTCAGCCTCCAGAGCGGCTCCCATGCCTGGCTCTAATGGTGACCAGTTTTAATTAGAACCATAAWTTTTTGCAGATTTTATATGGTTAGGAGGAATTATCCTTATCTCTCTGAACTTGGGGATCTCATCTATGAAAGGGCATATAAAAGTCCTCCCACCCACCACCAGGGTAACTTGGGTTCCTCTTATTGACATCATTTGGGGCCTGCATTTCTCCTGAAGACAACAGGTAATTTGCTGAGGAATGTGATATATCCTGTCCACTTAGGCCAGGCAGGGCTGCAGGTAAATTGCTTCTTGGAAAAGAAAGCATGTGAGGGTCAGCACAGTGGGCCCATTTTACATAATTATTCTCTTAACCTCATGTTCCSGCCATTCCCATCTGTCTGTTCCCTATCATCATGATGTAGTGTCCTTATCAAATGTACAAAGGAGTAGAACTATCCTGTCTTGAGCTGGAACCTACAGATCTATGAACCAAACTTCACCTTTTATCTTTATAAGTGAACTGTCTCAGGTATTTTGTTATAGTAATGGAAAGTTTGCTAATACACCTGGATTATCAATCTGAGATAAATTCCTGTTTGACTTTCTGAGCATTCCATCTCTACATACCCCCTTAGGCTGTAAGTGATAGCGAAAGAGTAATGCATATGATCCTCATGGGCTTTAGGGTTGGCTACATAATTTGGAGGGACCAGTGTAAAATGACAATGGAGATTCCCTGTTCAGAAAGTATTAAGAATTTCAAGATGGCAACAGTAGAAGTGACGGGGCCCTTCTAAGCACAGGCTCCTGCACCTGTCACACGGCACATGTCCATGAAGCTGGTTCTCCTGGGCCTTTCATTTCATTATAATCTCTTTTAAATAAGGCTTCCAGATGTATTCACAATTGATTCTCGTAGCTCTCTTAGATTTTTTAGAACGAACATCTGCTTTACATCTTTCGTTTTTACTAGGTACAGTGAGTAACATTCTCTGATGCAAAATTGGTAATAAAAATTATGTACATCTGTTCTGGGTATTGAGAGGGAAAACCTGGGAGTCTTTTTATGTGCATCTCTGCTAAGTCACATTGCTCTTGGAAAGTATGGTGATAAAAATTTTAATTGAGATAATAAGTTCACAGGTCAATGTGGATGTTAACCTCAGCAGTTCTTTTGCACCTTAACCCTTTCTTGAAACTCATTCAAATGCATACTTAAAAAAAAAAAAAAGCCCCTAAGGTTTGCTTTCAGAGCAAAGTTTCTGTTTGTGGGTAATCCTCTTAGGAAATTTAAATATAGGCAGTCACACTTTCTCCAGGGTAATAGCTATTGTAAAAAAGAAAGAAAGAAAAAAGAACTTTTCTTACTTTCATAATAACAAATATTTATTGAGCACCTACTCAGTGTCAGTCATTGTACTAGGCAATGAGGATACATTAGTGGATAAGGGGCTACTGACACAAAAATCTTTGACCTTCTGGATCTGACATTCCAGTAAGAAGCAGCATTCAATAAAATCATTACAACTGGTAAGGGGCAATAAAACAAGATAAGGAGAGTCTGGAGTATGAAGGGGTGTGGTTATAATTTTTAGAATGGTGTTCAAGACTGGCCCTGCTCATGAGGAGATATTTGAGCAAAGACTTGAAGGAAGAGAAAGTGAGCCACGTGGGTATTCAGATAAATAGGGGAAGAGAAGTGACAATAAAAAGACTAATAATTGTGAGGACCTTGAAGATAGAAGTGTTTGGAATGTTCCAGACACATAAAGAAAGTTAATGTGGATGATGTGAAGAAAAAAAAGAAGGAAAGTGGCAGGTGAGATAAATCTAAGCACACAGGTTATATAGGTCTTTATAGATCATTTAAGAAGGAGATCAGAAGTATCTATTAAATAGTAAACTAAAAACAAATTTTCAGTGGCTTGCAAAAGTTTTCATCTGGGAAAGTAGAAATGAGAAATATCTGCTAATTCTTAGAGTAAATACTTGAAGAAACATATGGTAGGATATAGTTTTCCCATCACATTAGCAAAATAGCACATGGTAATTCCTTTGACCTTGAATTAGTTATCTTTTGCTCCATAAAAAAAATAAGCTCCTAATCTAGCAACTTCAAAATATTTATTGTTATTATTATCCCACATGGTTGCTGTGGGCTGAGGATCTGGATCTGAGCAACGGCTGGGTGTTTTCATCTCAGAGTCTCACATGAGGTTATAGATGAGCTCTTGGATAGGGCTGCTGTGACCTGGAAGTTTCAGTTTAGAAGATTCTATTCAAGCTGTAGACAAAGGGTTCTCAGTTCTTCTGAGGCTTTTGGACAAAGCCCCCAGAATCTCACCACCCGGGATTCTCTTGAGGGCTGCTTGGGCCATGACAGCTATCTTCTTCCCTACCAGTTGATTACAGATTAAGAGAGTGGGGATGACTAAGTAGGAGTGTGTTCTTAACTGAATCCTGAACATATCATTTCTTCTGGAGTTGGTTACTCAGACTTAGCTTGGTACAGTTGTCACTGAAAACTCACTTCTTGTCCCCAGTGCCAATCCAATAACCGGGACACAGTTTTGAGAAAAAAAAAAAGAAAAAGAAGTTTCATTGCTTTACGAGCAAACGAGAGAGACACTGAGAAGTCCTGTCCCAGAAGCTGTCCTTCTGGGGGAACAGGGTGTTTTTTAAGAAGTGATTCAAAGGCAACATTCCACATGTCCTCTGTCTGCAGTTGTGATTCAGTTTGGGAGATAGTCATTTCTGAGATCTTCTGGCACCATCCCCAAAGTCTGAACTATTTCATTTCTGTGGTGAGTGTGTGCTCAAGCACAGAACTCTGCCCAGGAGGAGGAAGAAATGTAACCCTATTTCCCCTGGGATTAGGGAGGGGGAGAGATTAGGGAGGAGGAGAAAAAGAGGAAGAGAAACATGTCCTTTTAAAAATAAATTGCAATGGTAGGGCAGCAAGGGCTGTATTAAAAACATAAGTGGACTACTGTTACACAACTTGGGAGGTGGAGATTATGGGGGGTGTGAATACCAGTAAGTGGGCACCATTGGGCACCATCTTGGAGGCAGCTACCACAGCCTTATATTTGATGTTTGCAGCCCAGTAACAGACACGGTCATTTTTGTGTGTGTGTTTAGGAAAATACTCCAGAACTTATTCCATTCTCATAAATCCCTCTTAGACTTTCTGATAGTTATATATTACATATTGTAATTTATGTTGTCTCCTGAACCTTCCAGGTTTTTCTGAGTTTTTGATCATTTTACTTCATTCCTAAATGCTTTTGCTGTTAGGCTGTCTGCTTTCAGATTTACTTAATAAATTTTCATGTTTGTAATAAATTGCCAAGCATCATGCCTTCTAATCAGTTTACCAACTTTTTAATTTGTTCTTTTTAGATATACATAACAGTAGAGTGCGTTTGACAAATGATACAAACATGGAGTATAACTTCCCATTCTTGTGGTTATACATGATGTGGAGTTACACTGGCCGTATATTCCCATATGAACATAGAAAAGTCATGTCTGATTCATTCTACTGTCTTTCCTATTCCTGTCCCCTCCCTTTCCTTCATTCCTCTTTGTCTAATCCAATGAACTTCTATTCACCTCCACTCCTTATCCTGTGCAATCATCCTCATATCAGAGACAGCATTCAGCCTTGAGTTTTTTGGGACTGGCTTATTTCACTTAGCATGATACTCTCCAGTTCCACCCATTTATCAGCAAATGCCATAGTTTCATTCTTCTTTATGGCTGAGTAACATTCCATTGTGTATATGTACCACATTCTCATTATCCATTCATCTTTTGAAGGGTACCTAGGTTAGTTCCATAGCGTACCTATTGTGAATTGAGCTGTTATAAACGTTGTTGTATCTGTGTCACTGTAGTATTCTGACTTTAAGTCCTTTAGGCATTTACTGAGGAGTGGGACAGTGGGTCAAATGGTAGTTTCATTCCAAATTTTCTGAGGCATCTCTATAAGGTCCTTGCTTA